TTTGCATTAATGGCTTTGCAAATGAGTCAAGCATTTGTAAAGCATTCTTTATAAATGCTTGACTCAATTTGTAGAATACTGCATGTAGAAGATCTGAAATACACTGTTTCATTTGTAGGACCATCATCACATCTTTCATCTTCGATTGAAAATAGTTTGCTAACAACATGTCTCTTTACAATCAAAAAATTTTTTATTTCATTGGATGATATTCCATTGCACAGATAGAAATCATGAATGTGATTGAGAAATTGTGATATCATGGTGTATTGCACAGATCGTAAATTACTCTTATAAATTTGATGGGTGTCTGGTAAAAGCCAACCATAAGCTCGAATAGTATAAGCTAGACTCTCATCCACATGTAGCTCAATTTCTGGTATGAAATGTTTCCCATCAATAACTTTAAATAACACATAGTTTTGTGAAGTTTCAACAGTCCATGTAGTAAATGCTGCTAGTTTAATTTTTTTAAGAAACTGTTCAAAATCATTATAAATTAATTTTTTATCTACTTTTTTACTACCATATAAGCCATAGCTCGTTTGTCAAGTGCTGTTTTTTACAATGCGTGAGATCTTCAGATAAACTTTTTTTTGGTAAGTTTTTTGATGGAAGTGCAAATTCTTTTAAATCTTTTTTGTGTTGATCTGAAAAATAATTAAAAAGAATTTGTTAAATATTATTTGCTTTACTGTCTGTAATTCAACCTATCATAAAATTATAACAAAAGTAATGTATACGCGTACTCAATAAATATCAACACTTATTAAACACACTTACAGGTGTATATATCTGAATATTCAAAATGCTTTTCACATATATAAACACTATTCTTTTTAATTTTTTTTTTAAAAACAAGGGATACAACTCTATCTCTTGTGATAATTCTCAGTATTTCTTTATTCCAATTTGAGAAAAGTTCGCTTCTATTTGGGTTTGGAAGTTTAAAAATACTAACTGTATCTTCTCCTTGTTTTTTATACCTACTACTTCCACAGCCATAAACTGCGCAGTTTGCTCCAGGCATGATAAATCTAGATTCAAACAACTGATTTCAGCTCCACTCTGGTATATTAAAGGCGTTTAATAAACTAAATTGTAACTAAAATTTTTTTTTACCTCTAGAAGTTTAAACTTATGACAAAAATTTCAGAGTCTCTAAAAAGTTAAACCAACGATACAACTAGAATAATGAAAAGAATTTATAAATTGTAACAAGCACGATTATTCGACGCAAAACTAAACTTATCTGAACATTGTAACAAGAATAGATCTTTCTTGTGACAATGATCTGAACGAGTTTATTTTTATTTCTTTAATGTTTTGCACTTCAAAAGATCTGGGTTCTAGTTTTTTCGGGTACAAAGAGATAATATAATAAGCTATTGTGCGCTTCCAGACTATCTATTCTTGTGACTATGGTTAAATAAAGTATTTACACTGCCAAAACAATAATCAAAACAAACTAGTTTTCAATATTATGATTAGAACTTAAAAAAATTAAAAAGAATGTGTTTTTGGTCACTTTAAAGCATTTAAATTATTTAAAAAAATGACCTTATGCTAATATATATATATATATATATATATATATATATATATATATATATATATATATATATATATATATATATATATATATATATATATATATATATATATATATATATATATATATATATATATTGTATATATATATATTATATATGTATATATATATATATATATATATATATATATATATATATATATATATATATATATAATATATAGTTATATATATATATATATATATATATATATATATATATATATATATATATATATATATATATATATATATATATTATATATAATATATATAGTTATATCATGTATATTTTTATAAATAATATATATTCATGTTAAGTATTTATATATAATAATTAGGGGTGCACTGATGCCTACTTTTATTATTGATATTGGATATATGATGGAAATATACACTTGAATAGAAATGCCACCTTACATTCATGTGATAATGAAAGCAATATTTTAAAATTATTCCTATTTAAGTTTATTTTCCATTTATTTTTTTATTGTACTCTAGATAATTAGAGCAATTGCTTCAATTGAAAAGCTCGTTTTATAAATATTTATTTTCATCATTCTGTTAAATTAAAACGGTTTCGCTTTTTATAAAGAATGAATGGAAGATTTTGATGTCGTTATTTCTAATAATTGGCAAGTTATTAGCAAATGTTTTTACGAAATTAAATTATAAAACAATATTTATATTAAACACTTTCAATTTGATAATAAACTTTTTTATTATTTAATTTTAATATAAATGTAACAAAACATTTTGATTGTAAAGAATAACAAAAAGAGTTTCAAAAAAATCTTTGTTTAAAGCAATTTTCTCTTTATAATTTATTATTATTTAATAAAAAATTTCTTATAAATTATAAAACACTTAAAAAGTAGGGAACCCTGTTAAAAGCAGTTCAAAAGTTTTTAGTATAGTGGTTGCATATATGCCTATATAAAACTTATTATTAATAAGGCTTATACATTGCATTTAGGGTACTGTTGTCGATATTGTACCCTCTAGGAATAAAGTCAAAAATAAAGAAAAAAATAAGTGGAAACAATGAGGCTTTATTGTATTTTATAATTTGGGGATAAACTGTTCTAAAAAAGTTGAAATATGTAAAAATTTAAATGCTGGTATTTGATTGGGAACTAAATTTTAAAAAATATGCTATTGTACAATTAAGGAAACAAGATTCTAAATCATACTATTCTAATCCAATATTTTACCTATATATTGATTTTAACAATGCTATATTAATTTACAGTACAATTTGAATGATTTTTGTAAATATCTTTTTCTGTGTAAAATGTAAAATGTTTTGAATTTAATAAGTTTTATTCAATATGAACTTAATAAATTTTTGATTTATTAAATTCTAGGGCAATTATTATATATAATTATATAATATAAAGATTATATCTATTTGTTTTGTTTTGCAACTTTTGTAAGATAAAAGGTTAAACAGTAGATAAAGAACTTATTGATAAAAATTTATTCTCTATATATTTTTGCAAATATAGACATTGTTTCATCGACAAGAGAATTAATAACACAATACATTACTAGATGAAATAATGATTCAATACAAACAAAATGTAATAGTAACAACAAATAAAAAACCAAAGCATATTACAAAACTGTGTCTTGATAAAATATTGTTGTTGCTTTTTTTCTAGTTTGACAAACTCAATGTTTAGTACAAGGTTTTAGAAAGTAGTTTTGTTAAAAACTATTTTTTTTTATTAAAAATTAATATACAGGGTTGCCACTATAATTCTGGAACAAAACTCCTTGTTTTGCCCTGATTTTTTCAATTGCGCTTATTTTCCCCTAAGGTTTCTACCTTTCATACTCAAAAATTTAGCATTACAACCTCAACATTAACCCCCATACTATTTTTGATCCTAAAACCCCCATCCACCTCACCCTTAAAAAAAAAAGATTGCTTGCTTTCCACATAGAAAACAAAAATTTGTTAGATAACAAAAATAAAAAATCAAACACTTTTTACAATAACATACTATTTTTTTTAATATTTGAAAATAGCAAAATGGTATTGAAATCATTTTATTGTTGATTTCATCTTAATGAGCCTTCAATTTGTTAGGTAAGATGAAACCTTTGATAGTTCACATAAATCAAGTGTCTTATATTTCATGTTTTCACTAATCATACGTTGATACTGAAGCTCCTCTCAACTAATGCTTAACCATGAACTATTGTAAAAAATTTAAAACCCTAACAACCTTGTACTTTATTCCACTTTTGATGGTTTCAAAATTAGTCTAAACGATTTCCAGTGTGGCATTTTTTAAATTCCTGGTAAAAGATACGATGAACTTTTTTCTAACAACT